GTCTAGGGTTAGAGTTGGGGGGCTGGGAGCCAGGACCCTTGAGTTCTTTCACCCCTCTGCCACTGAATTCATGCCGTTGGCAAGTCAGTTCTCTGTGCCTCAGTCTCCCCCTATAAAATGGGGGTGGCAGCAGCCTCAGGAGTGGGGCTGTGGGCCCTTATCGCTGAGCCCTAGTCGGGTGTAGGTGTCTGGCGGAGGCACTGGAGATGGGCACAGTATGGGTGTGTGGTGATGCCCCTTCTGCCAATGTCCGTCCATCTGTCTTTGCCTGTCAGAACAAAAAGGAGAATAACTCGAAACCCTCCGTCCCGCCCCGAGCCGAGAGGAAGAAAACTCCAGAGACCCCCAAGCCGGTGAGCAGCCCTCAAGTCAACGCCCTGGTGGCTCGCCTGCCTTTCCTCCTGCCTCGCATCCAGGCCAGCGAGAGACTGATGCCGCCAGGTGCCCAGGCCGTGCGCTCCTCCCCTCCCATCCTGGCGCCCAAGATCACGGCCACGCCCATCGGGGGCACGGTCAAGATGGCCGCCCTGCCGCTGCCGGTGGGCACCGCCTCCTCCCTGCCCATCAACCTGGCGCCAGGCGTGAACGGGGCGGCGGGGCTGGTCAGCCAGCAAGCGGCGGTGCCGGTGATCAACATGATCCTGCCCAACGTGCCAGCCAGCATGAGCATCCCTGTGGCCGAAATCCCAGCCAACCCCAAGAGCGCAGCCGGGGGCGGCAGCGAGAGGCACGGCCCCGCCAAAAGCAGCGAGGGGCCGGCCGGCAGCCAGCAGGAGGCGCAGGGAGCCAAAGGGGCCAAACGCCCCCCGGAGTCGCCCAGTGAGGCTGCCACCATCAAGAGGAAGCGCGGTCGGCCCCGGAAGAGGCTGGATGAGGCGGAGGCCTGTTCGCCGGGTAAATGTAGCGGCGCGGAGGAGGGGGGTGCCCCTGAGACCGGAGGAGGGGGCGACGCCGGCCACGAGGGTAGCACATCACGGAGCTCGTTCGTCTCGGGCAGGAATGGAGGGTCACCCAGCCCGTGTCCCGGAGAGCCGGGAGGGCTCTGTGTGGGAGGCCCGGACAGCTGGGCTAAGGGAGTGTTGCCTGGTGCTGAGAACAGAGGCAGCTCGCTGGACACTGACCGAGCCACAGGCACCTCCCAGGTGAGCGTCATCCAGGACAGCCGGTTCAGTGGTCAGAGCCAGCTGAGAGCTGGCGCCCAGGAGCCGGAGCTGGAGGACAATTTGCAGGTGCAAATGAACCCAGGCGAGGCTTCTGTACCAGGATCCCACGGCCCCCAGGAGGGGAGACCTCACCCCCGCTCTCCCTTGGGAGACACCAAACGGGAGAACCCGGGAAAAAGCCCGGCCTTGCTCCTGCTGTCAGCGATTTCCGCCCCTGACGACCGCGCTCAGCCATCCGATTCCGGGAGCTCTCCCGAATTGCTGTGCTACGCGTCTGGCTCGGACGAGTCGTCGCCGCCGCCGGCGGGTTTGCACTCTGCCGGCGCTAGCGAGGACAAAGCCGCTAGGCGCCAGCGCAGCCCTGCGTCCAAAAGGCTCCACAGCCCCCAGTCCAGAGCGGATCGCCCCTGAGCACGCTCTGTGCAGCGCCCACGCCTCAGCAAGCCGAACTCGTCCTCTGCCCACGTCCAGGAGTGGGCGCTCTGCCGCAACTGGATGCCTTGCAGGGAAGATTTAAAAATGATATTCATTTGCTAACTGCCTCCGTCCCTTCCCAGGGCTGCAGAATAACACCCCTCCTCCCCACCCTCCCTGTTGCCATGCAATTAAATAAAGCCAATCATTGCCACGCACGGTTTGTTTGTGATCGGCAACCGTCACCTTTCCTCTGGCCCAGCAATTTGGTTTTGCTGCATTGGGAGGCCAGGCCAACGCACCATCACTCCTGCCCCCTCCGGAAGGAAAGGGCTGCTGCTTCCAGGGGTGGAAAAGATCCAGCTGGAGAGTAGGAAGCCCTCAGGTCAAGAAATGACTTGGGTAACATCTCTCCACCTCAGCCAGCAAGGGCATCTACGCTGCTCACTGCGCCCAGGCTCCGACTCGGGTTTAAGCCCCAGCCCCCCTTCCGTCCACATCAAACCAGTGACTTGGGTCAGCGAGCCCTCAGGACCCTGCTGGGGGGTGGGTCAGCGTCTAAGCCCTGCTGCGAGTTGGGTCCAAGCCCTGTCATTTTGCAGTGGGGATGCAGCGTGAGCCGCAGACCCGCGTCAGAAGGTCAGTGCAGTGCAGTGCAGACCTGTTCACACGGCTGAGACCCGGATCCAACCATTGGAAACCCAGGTTTGCAGTGCAGTGTGGCAGCTCAAACGCAGCCTGAGTCCACAAGCCCAGGTCCCACAGACCCGGGTTAAGCGTGCAGTGTAGAAGTAACCCAAGAGATTGTGTTCACGGTGCCCTCTGTAGATCATGCTGCTCTTGGATACTGGACAGCACGGCTGGTTTCGTGTAACTGCCCCAAAGCAAACCCCTGGAGTTAGTGCCATTCGCCCCGACGCAGCATCACTTGTGCTGCTGAAATCAGAGGCTTTTGGGGTACACCGCCAGTCTTGCATCTAGAGGGAGTTTTTGCTGCTGCTCCTCTCCTGTGTAGGGCTGCGTGCCCTTGGCTTGCCCCAGCTCGCAGGCGCTAAGCACCCCGCAGGATGGAAGCTGGTGTTCCCGCTGATCCCAGGTTTGATTTTAAAGCTCAAGCGTTGGGTGACGTTGTTGTGATGTGTCTTGCCTTTAATTTCTCCCTTTTGGTCCGTGTTTTGATCTGCCCACGAGCATCGCTAACCTAAGCGATGAGCTGGATGCATGAGGGTCTCTGGCCTGTGCCCCTTCTTGCCCTGGAATCTATGAATCTAAGCCACCCTGGGACTAGGGAGCAAAGATCTCTGCTTGAAAGGGCTCAAAGAGACAAAACTGGGCTCTCCTGCTGCTGTCTGGGGTGTAATGGATTCCAAGGCCAGAAGGGGTCAGTGTGACCATCTAGGCTGACCTCCTGCATAACACTAATTCCCAGAGCAGGTCTGCTAGACAAACAGCCAATCTTGATTTAAAAAAGCATCAGTGATGGAGAATCCCCCACAACTTTTGGTTGTGCAGAACAGCGTAGAGAAGGCGTCTCTTGTTTTTCAATCCTAGGAACAATCAGGGATGTCAAATCCAGTCTGCCCGGGTTTTGCGAGGAGGTTTCTCCCTTAACCGAAAGACCTGGGATGTTCGCTCTTTAACAAAGATGTCCTGTATCCAAACTGTTAGTTAGCCATTGGAGTTTAATAGGCCTCACCCTAAAAAAAACTGATTACACCCCTCTCGCTAGCTCAGTGTTCGCTCTCCTGATGTCCCTGTTTCACTAACTTTCGTGCCCACCCAGGCCCTGTCTGCATTCACATTTTATTTATCCCCTCGCACTGTTGCAGCTTCCCCAGCTGCATAGAGCGGGAAGCGCTAGTACAGCTGGACAGCTGGCATTTCCACCACCAGCCGGCTCGGCCTGCGCTCCGAGCTAACAGCGGGAATAAAGAGGAACCTCTCGGATTCTTTCTGTCTGATACACCCTCCCCAGGTGTCTCATTGCTCCACAGGAGATTTAAGTGATGGGCTGGCTGAGCAATCATTCTCCAAATGCATTAGACAGCCTCTAGCATCGCCATGCAGAGGGGTGCTTGGTATCTGGTGCCCCTGTACTTGCCGCTAGCCCCAGCGTGGGGGCTACACCAAACCAGTGACAGTGATGTTTTGTCTGCATCATGAATAAAGTCCTCCCTACTGTCCTGCATGGGGGTGAAGGAGGGGAGGGGGACTGGAAACTGTTCTTCCAGCCTTCGCCCAGATAGGAGAGCGGAGTAGCGGTGAGTAGGCTCCCCCTGTGGATCTGAGACCCAGGTTTTGGTCTAAAAAAGCATGAAAAGTGATTCCTTGAATTCAGGTTTGTTCTGGTCCTCCGTGACAGTCAGTTTCCAACCTCGATCCTAGGGCCGAGAGATCATCTGTGGGTTGAGGAGAGTGTGTGATCCTAAATGTATACCTCCCTGGCCCCCGGACTTTAATTAACAGTGCGATTCCTCTGTGCAGAATGAGCTTGGCAATGGAGCTGAAGCACAGGGCTCAATACTGCCCGGCCCCAGCAGAGGGCCCCTGCATCTGCCAGGCTGCGGCACAGGGAACGCAGGGTGGGAACAGGAGCCCCCCCCCACACACACACACCGGCCCCTTAAGGGCTGGTGAGGCCAAAGCGTTACCTTAGCTGCTCTGGGGTGGTGGGAGGACGGGGAGCAAACGGACTCTTCCTCCCTGGTGAACACCATAAGCCATGTGAGCACCTGGTGTTTGGCTGTGTGACAATGGGGGAAGGGTGAATTCAGGGGGCTGATAGCCCAGGTTAGAGCCAGGTGTAGTGCAGGTGAGGGCTGTGCAAGCCCCCCCCACACACACACACACTTCCCCCCGCTCTCCCAAACCCTCCTGCACAGCTCTGCTAATGCAGCTCGGTCCTGACCTCCAAATCCCCTGCACTTCCAGCCCAGTTCTCCCCACACAGCTTTGCTGGTGCCCCTCAATCCCAAGCCGCAGCACCCTGTTACCCAAGCCTTGGGCCACACACACACACACACACACTCCCCTCAATCCTGCCCCACAGCCCTTGCCCACCATTCCAGCCCTTGATTCACTCCCCCCCTCAATCCCAAACTCAGCCCCCTGCTATTCCAATCCTGTGCTACACACACACAGCCCTACTGATGCCTCTCAAGCCTGCCCCACAGCTCCCCTCCCCGCAGGGTATGAGTGGGTCTAGTGTTAGAGCTGGTGTCTGGGAGTCAGGATTTTGGGGCCCTGGTCCCAGGTCTAACACTGACCTGCTGTGCGACCTTGGCTCCAATCACTCAGTCTCCTTGTGCCTCAGTTTCCTCAAAGGCCCAAAGGGGATGATCTTTCCCTGGACTTTGCAAACAGTAATTACTCACGAGGAGAGTCAGGAGCCTCATCGCTGAGCTGGGCAAAGGGAGGCCCGGAGCCGTATTGGCCAAAGCCAGCCCATGCCCAGGTGGGCCGAGTGACTTGGGGAACCTGCCTGACTTTGCTATGTCCACACATGCAGCTCAATCTCCTGCTCTTCTGGTTCTTCCAGTTGGGGGCTGGGTTGTGCCAAAGGCGTTTGCTCGGCTCTGGTGCAGGGAGAGCTCTCGGGTTTAGGAGGGGAATGTTGGTCATTGACCAAAGAAGCCCCCGAACCAGCTCTGGGGTGGATCCATCACCGCGGCCAGACCCCATGCTCTCCCTGGTGTTAGAACAGCAGATCTGAGCGGGTGACTGGGTACAATACAGCGGGCTCCTCTGACTCTCCTGCGAGGAACGAGGTGCTGGTGTTAGTGCATACATGCACACATATACACGCACATGTACACATGCATATACATGCACACATGCTCACACGCACATGCTCACATGCATATACACGCACATGTGCACACATGCATATACATGCACATGCATATACATGCACACATGCTCACGTGCACATGCACGCACGCATATACACACACACACACGTACACATGCATATACATGCACACATGCTCACACGCACATGCTCACATGCATATACACGCACGTGTGCACATGTGCATATACATGCACACATGCTCGTGCACGTGCACACACACGCACACACGTGCACATGCACACATGCTCACATGCACATGTGCACATGCACACGCATATACATGCACATATGTGCATGCACACACAAACACACACGTGCACATGCACATGCTTCCTTATCAGGTTCTCACCCTTCACTCACAGACACTCTCTAGCTCACACTTTTGCGCTCACTCATATTCACCCACAGAGACGCGTCACGCCCACCCAGTCCCACACCAACAGAAAAGGTTTTGAATGAACAATTCTGAGCAGCTGTGGAGAGGCAACGGGCTCTGCCGGAGGCGGCGTTGCTTCCAGGCCCCAGACTGCTCACGAGTGGGACGTCAGGGAAGCGCCAGCCGACATCGGGGCTCTATTGCGCCGGGTGCTGCACAGCCACAGAGTGAGAGACAGTCCTGGCCTTGGCAAGCTCACAGTCTGTATAGACACAGGATGGGAGGGGAAACTGAGGCACAGAATGGGGAAAGGACTTGCCCCAGATCACCCAGCAGGTCCATAGCAGAGCCAGGAAGAGAACCCAAGGCCCATTCCTTTCTATATAGGGTCTTACCCCGCCCTCATCACTGTCCTGTCTGGGTACTGTCCAGTCGTGTATTAAGCCAGGTGACCAAGAGCGGTCAGGTGTGATCCATTCTTTTTGCTCATCCTCTCATAAGAACATGCAAACGGCCCTATTGGGTCAGACCAAGGGTCCATCTAGCCCAGTATCCTGTCTTCCGACAGTGGCCAATGCCAGATGCCCCAGAGGGAATGAACAGAACAGGTAATCATCGAGTGATCCATCCCCTGTTGCCCATTCCCAGCTTCTGGCAAAGAGAGGCTAGGGACACCATCCCTGCCCATCCTGGCTATGAACTTATCTAGTTCTTTTTTGAATCCTCTTCCAACTCCCCTGTCCTCGCTGCATGTCCCATCAGCTGATTGATCCCGCTGGGTCTCCAAGATCCACCCTACCCATTCCCCCTTGCTCCCTTTAACCTGGGCCATCCCCAAATAACCGCCCCCTCACTGGTTTTCTCCCCTCTCCATCCTGATCCCTTTCTGCAGTCAGGGCTGCCCAGGAGTGTGTGTGTGGGGGCAACATGGGCACTTTGCCCCAGCCCCCCGTTTGAGAGGGACCCAAACCTGCGGAAATTGAGTGAGTGACGCACTGTGAGCTGGTACATGGTGTCACAGCACCACTCAGGTTTGGCCCGGCCGCCCCTCTCCAGGGAGCTGGGCCCAGCCCTGTGTGACAGGAGTTCTCGCTGCAGGGTGCGTGTGGGGCGAGTGACGCAGTTTCAGGTTTTGCCCTGGGCCCCTAAAAACCTCTGTGCCCTGCCTGCAGCTTAGCCCTGCAGTGCCCGAGGGCAGAGATCCAGGCAAGGAGACACTTCCCCAAAGCAGCTGCGTGGGTGTGTGGGGAAGGCTGATTTGCGTCCCTGGTGTTATTTACAGGCAGATTGGTGCGTAAAGGGGAGGGGGGGGGGGCGCTGTAGGGCATGGGAGGTTAGTAATTGTAGGTGCTTTACTCTCCTGCCCCGCCCCCCAGGGGCGATCCGCCACGGGAGGTGAATCAGTGTTTCCCCAGTGAGTCAGGTAGATTAGCGAAGTCCTGGGAGCGACCCACCTTATCTGATGGAACTCTCTGGGCAGGGCGGCTCCCCCATACTGGAAACCCCTCCTGAGGGCAGCCCAGGAGGACACGCTCCGGCTCAGAGCCGATCAGCTGCTGCTGCATCAGGCCAGGGATGTGGAGGGAGCCTGAGGGACTGGGGTGAGATGCTGCCCCTGGGCTCCCAATTCTGCTGTGAATGGCTAAACACAGCGCTGGCCGGCATACATCAACCGCTGCTCCTGGACAGTCCCGGTAGAACCACCTGTCGTGCTGCTGGATGGTCCGATATGTCCAGGTAGAACCC